TTAATTTTTTTAAAATTATTATTTTTGGGGGGGGTTGGTAATCAGGTTTATTTATTTACTTAAATGGAGGTATTGGGGATTGAACCCAGGACCTCACGCATGCTAGGCAGCCACTCTACCACTGAGCTATACCCTCCCCTCAAACATGTAATTTTAGAGATGAAGTTGCTGGACTTATCTGCAGGAAGCCATATATAAAAATAAATGTTGAAAAGTTCCTAACTAAATACATAGACTGAATCTACATACTCGGTTTTGCTCAGGTTTATGCCCCGCTGTATTATCATTCCACATTTAGCAGTAGGCAAGTGTAACTCGGAAGTCAAGTAACTTGTTCAAGGGAGACACAGCTGTTAAGTGGTGGAACTGGAGTTCGAATCTAGGTTTTCCTGACTCCAGAACCTCTGTCTTCCAAAATGGATTTTGACTTCTAAATAATTGTCCAGCAAATGCCTCTCTGAAGACAATTTATAAGTTAAGATTTGCCTGTATTTATACGTAATGTGTTACAATATAATGTATCTGTGTAAACACAAGTACACAGCTATGTGACTTGTACGTATATACTAGAAATTTATGAACTTGGAACATAGTAGGAAATGAACAAACCACTTCAAATGGACAGAACAAGAAATCTACATGAACACCAGAACATGAGTCCATCGGTTCTCAGTGAACACTCAGAGCTTATTGTCAACACCTACAACTTTACTGTATGTGCTAAAAGTTTTCATTCAACACATGAAATTCCTGAGGTTGGAAGATCATGGTCATGGAACAGACACTGAAGGCACTGACCCTTATGAGGTGCAAATCTGGATCAGTGTCATAGCTAAAAATCCCAGACGTCTAGGTATACACAGTGTTCATCCATGTGTTCGTCCATCCATCCATCTATCCATCCAAAAGAAGATTTACTGTGTGCCAAGTATCATGGCCAGAACTTTCATGTATTAAAAAATATAAAATAAATCTTGCAATAATTTAGGAATTTATCATGCTAGAAATGATTCTTACTGAGTAAAAAGTTAGAAATGGATATCCCACTCTAGGGCTTTTATGATGTTATTTTGCATTGTAAATCCATTATGAATTATTGTTTTTTCACTAGCAAAACCTCACCTGAATTATTCATATAGCATAGCTTTTTAACTGGCACATTTCTTCAAATGAATACAATGGCATTTCTTTCAAAATAGGAATAAGTCAGACGTTTCACTAATTAGGGCAGAACTTTATTCCTATGCCATTAACTGAAGAGGCTTTGCTTTCTATTTTATTTATAATCAGTAAAGGCCAAAGCCTTGCAGTCTATAGCATCCTCATTTGATTACAAAGTGCCTTGACCAGGGGCCAGACATTTCAGGGCTGAGCACCACTCACAGCCACTCAGATGTGCTGTGACTCAAGCAGGCGTTGGAAGTGGGGGCATCATTGTTACCTGTAGTGTTGAAGCCAAAGAGGAGAGGGCAGGACACGGCAAAAGCCAGTACCCAGACGGCCGTGATCATGAGGGCCACGCGCCGACAGGAGCCCTGGCCCGTGCCATGTTGGTAGTGCACTGGCATGACCACTGCAGTGTACCTAGAAAAGGAAGGGGAGAGAGGATAGATGTGACGAGAAAGATTCAAAAGACAGGCTGAAAGAGGTCACTGGAGAAACAACCGGGTTGATACATGCGGCAGGAGAAAGATAAGTTGGTTGGAGAAACGTAGAGAGAAAGGGTATTTGAGTGAACATGGAAGAAAGACTGAGATAAGACAGATGAAGAAGTCACTGGGAAAGGTGATCAGAGAAAGGAAGAAAGAATAAAAAGGTTAGCAGAGCAACACGAGGATATCGGAGAGCTTCTTTCCCCAGTGCTGGTTGACAGCCCAGCAGATCCCAGCCTTGTATTCACACACCCTTGACCCTGAAGTCTCTGGGGATGGTTTTGGTGCCTTCACTTTCTCCCACAGTTTTTCAGATAATGATGGAACTGTGCCCAAAGAGGATGTTTATCCCTGCTTGTACCGTAACATTAATTCTAACCCTCATAGAGACAACTATTCCAAGTAGCAGAGATTTTGTAAGTAGAGGTGAGTAATATCTAAGGAAGGCTTATTTAAAAATCAAGTTTTCATGCTGTCTTAGTCAGTTCAGGCTGCTATTTCAAAAATACCATAGACTGGGTGGCTTAAAGAACAACTACTTATTCTTCACAGACCAGGAGGCTGGGAAGCCCAGAGCAACGTGCCGGCACATCTGGTGTCTGGCGAAGGCCCACTGCTTGCTTGGTAGATGGCTGTCTTCTTGCTGTGTTTTCACACGGTGGGAGGGATGAGGGAGCTTTCTGGGGTCTCTTTTATTAGGGCACTAATCCCATTCATGAGAGTGGAGCCCTAATCACCATCCAAAGGTCCCATATCCTACTCCCATCACACTGGGGGTTAGGATTTTGAGGGGACACAAACATTCAGCCTACAGCACAGGCTTTTACCTGGTCAAAGCATGGTTCCTTATTCTCATTGGATCTTGTCTTTTCTGTGGTATCTCCTCACATACATTTCCAGCTGCTTACTGGACATACCTGAACAACTTTCCATGGTTGTCTCAAACTGAAATTGTCTGAAACAGATGTAATTCCTCACATCTCTAAATCTGACTTTACTTCCTGCCTTTCTTCAAGACATCCACACCCTTTACTTAGGCTTTTTTACTTTTCTTTGGCCCTTTCATGCCATTTGCTCCCCCATCCCTTTAACCTTTCATTCATTCAATATTTATTGACTTCTTACTATACATCAGGCTCTGTTCTGGAAATATAGAGATGTGCAAATGGGACATTGCCTCTGTCCTTATTGAGCTTGGAGCTTAGTGGAGTGGAGGGAAAAACATGTTAATATAAAATGAAGAGTATTAGGAAAGAAATAAGCTGAGTGGCATGTTTAAGGATAAGGGAGGCTGTAAGAAGGAGCAAAGCAACATAAGTGGATAGAGGAATGGGTGAGCCAGAAGGTGCCAGCCATGAGTTAAGGCAGAAGAGCATTTTGGACAGAAGGATAGCATGTCCTGTGAATGTGCCCATTATGGTGTCTTCCCCATTTATCCCTGCATTTCTTTTCTACCACTGTTCTCTGTGATGGCCACAGCCCCCTGGCTGGTCTCCTGCAGCCAGATCCCAAAATAGATTTCATTATTCCCCTCTCTCACTCCATGGCCCCCCAGCTGAAAACGGAGTTGGGCAGGATTCTAAGATGGCCTTCCAAATTTATGCCCTGGAGAGCTAGAGGAACTCTGTGGTTAGATCACATAGCAGTAGATGGAGTTCATCAAAAAGGAGATTATCAGCAACCTAAATGTCCATCAACAGAAAGATGTGGTACAAATATGCACAATGGAATACTACCCACCATAAAAAAGAATGAAATAATGCCACTTGCAGCAACATGGATGGACCTAGAGATTATCATACTAAATGAAGTAAGTCAGACAGAGAAAGACAAATACCATATGATACCACTTATACATAGAATCTAAAAAATGATACAAATGAACTAATTTACAAAACAGAAATAGACTCACAGACAGAAAACAAACTTATGGGTACCAAAGGGGAAAGGAGGGGAGGGATAAATTGGGAGTTTGGGATTAGTAGATAGAAACTACTATATATAAAACAGATAAACAACAAGATCTTACTGTACAGCACAGGGAACTATATTCAGTATCTTATAATAACCTAAAATAAAAAGGAATATGAAAACAAATATATACGTATAAATGAAATACTTTGCTGTATATCGGTAACTAATGCAACATTGTAAATGAACTATATATCCAAAACAACAACAACAAAAAAAAAAAGAAAGAAAGAAAGAAAGAAAGAAAGAAAAGAAAAGAAAAGAAAAGAAAAGAAAAGAAAAGAAAAGAACAAGGGAGATTATACTGGGTGGGCTTGACCTAATCAGGCGAGCCCTTAAAAGGGACTGGGCCTTCTTTAATCCAGAGAGATTCAAAGCATGAGAAATAATCCTGCTGGTGTTGAAGGGGCAAATGGCCGTGTTTCGGAAAAGATCATTTGGCAGAGAACAGCAAAAGGCCTATAGAAGCTGAGAACGGCCCCTGGTTGACAACTGCCAAGGAGGTGGGGACCTCAGTCCTGTAACTGCCAGGAACTGAATTCCACTGACAACCGGAGTGAGTCTGGAAGATGAAAACCCAAGTCAGCCTACATCTCGTTTTCGCCCCGAGAGACCCTGAGCAGAGAAGCTACCTACACTGTGCACAGATTTCTAACCTGTGAGGTAAAAAAATGGATACAGTTTGTCACTGCATTTGTGATCATTAGTTACACAGCAACAGAAGACAAATACAATGTCAATTCTTAGCCTTTCCCAACATGACCTCAACTTGCCTTGCCAACCTGACCTCCTGTTGGTCCCTGACACTTACTTATAACTGCAGCCAAACTGTCTAAGTGATGGGGAAACTTCAACAGCCTTTGTTCAATCCATTATCCCTTTTCCTTCCCTGGATAGCTCATTCCTTCCTTCCTTTCATCCCACATGAGCTCTTCAGTAACTTGCCCAGTCCTTTCCATCTTACAGAGACCTCTAACTCTGAATGCAGAGCATTCCTATCTAATCAATCACGTTTCCCTTCTGCATGCAGTTGTCTTGCCTCATTACTGAACTTGCCTCATGGCTGCAGAGAGATAGCCCTCCATATGATTTAAATTACGTGATGGCTCAAATCATCTTATAGCCTTGGTATTCCATGTAGGTCTTTGCACAAAGCAAGTTTTAAGAAGCTGTTGACTGACTGCCTCATGGATCCTGAAGGCCTCCTTCCCCATAAGAGGACAATGTTAACCCTATGCCAGCTCAAAGGAGCTAATATGTACAGTTGGGTCTACGCATGCTCGATTTTTCATGTCTTCTCAGCATCCAGGGAACCTGGAGGCCAGATGCAGAGCAGGAGCCTCCTTAACTCCTCTTGTGCACCTGAAGGCTTGAGGCTGAGGAAGGAAAGGACAGACCCTGGGCTGGAGCATGTGGGGCACTGCTCCCTGATGCCCCTCCTGTATGTGCCAGCTGCCTGAATTTTCTGTGTCTGACATCTGAACATCTGGCCGTAGAGTTCATGTGTTAGCATTTGTATTCCCAGAAGAACAGCTGGAGGGCTGAGACTCTGTAGAGTCTACAAGCAGACTCTGTAGAATTTGCCCTTGGCACCCTGACGGGTGACAGAGGTGGCTTCTTTCTCAAAACAGAGAAAGAGAGGTTCTTATGTAATAAGGTCAAATGAAGACCCCACTACCAACCCCAAGGGAGGCCCATGATCACCCAGTTCCCTTCCCCTGGTGCCCATACACTACCCCTGAAGCCCTGACTTGGCCATGAAGGAGCAGGGCAAGTAGCACCTGACATTCTTCCGGGCCTGTCACTCACCCCAGGACTTTAGACTCTGCTGGGGCAGTGAGCTGGGGCTTCAAGTCAAATATGCTGACCAGAGCCTAGCCCTCAGCTGTGATCCCCGAGGTACCTCGGAGGAGAGGCTGAACCTTGAGCCTGCAGCTGTCATGGCCAAACAGCTGCTGATGGTCAGGAAGGAAAGGTATGACCCTTCCTCCTGTCCAGACCTGCAGTTGGGCCCAGGCCTTCATTTGCATAATGGCCTTTGATGCAAATGAAACTGACCATCCCATACCTCCAGTGGCCTGCTGCTTGATGGCTAACAACTGGCTCTCCAAGTGAAAAAAGCCCTAATTTATACCATTTGTCAACATCTGTGGTACCAACACTCCCACCGTTGTCCATTTCAAGTTACACCTCAGGTTTAATAACTGGCTCAAAAAGCTCCCAGAATTGTGCCAATCATCTCTCACCAGCCGTTTCGAGCTGACACCAAGCCCACCATTGAGAGCTGTGCACTTTCCTGAATCTGCTTTAATGTTCAGCAAAGGCTTGGAGGCTCCCACTAATTCAATGAGTCAGTGAGTATAGGGAGCATTGGCTCCATTTTATAAAGGAGGAATCAGCCACAGAGAGGTTACCTGATGACCCCAAGGTCTCACAGCAGGTGGCGGCAGAGCCCCGGAGGCTAGGTCTCTTCTGGGTGCCTCACTCCCTCTAAAGGGCACTGTAAGCCTCTGAGGCCTTGTGGGGACAAGGGCGTCTCCAGGAAAGGTGGCGCTGAAGGGTGGTTTATACTGAGACCACCCGCGGCTGCCCAGAACGGAGCTTCCCCAATTAGCTTGATTCTATTAATTGCCTAGGGGGTCCTGTTAAAAACACATTTCAAGGCCATGCCCTTGGGCATTTTGTTCCACTCCAGAGGTGTGTATTTCTAACAAGCAAGTGCATCTTATGATTAGACAAGTTCCAGAAAGTCTGCATTAGGGAAAACCTGTATCAAAAATTCTTGTTCACTTGGGTAAGAAGTGAGAGATGAGACTACATTTACATTAATCTTTTTTCTCCTTATTTTAAAAGCACAATTAAACTTTTAGCATACATGAGGCCCCTCAATTGGCTCCCAGGGTTTTTCCCCCCCGCTACAAGTTTGCCATAGGGGCTGAGACCGAGACCGTTCCGCAATTG